TCACAGACTGAAACAGGCTCCAGGCTCTGAGCTGGCAGTCAGCACAGAGCCCGACGCGGGGCCCGAACCCACGAACCGCGAGATCATGACCTAAGCGAAAGTCGGACGCTTAACCGACTAAGCCACCCAGGCGCCCCTAAAGATTTTACTTTTAAGTAATCTCTACACTCAGTGTGGGGCTTGAACTCACAACCCCAAGAATAAAAATTGCATACTCCACTGACTGAGCCAGCCTGGTACCCCTCCCCACTCCATTTTATTTTATTTTATTAATTTTTTTAAAATTTATTTCTAGGAGAGAGAGAGAGAGAGACAGCGTGAGCAGGGGAGGGTCAGAGAGAGAGAGGGGGTCACAGACTGAAACAGGTTCCAGGCTCTGAGCTGGCAGTCAGCACAGAGCCCGATGCGGGGCTCGAACCCACGAGCCGCGAGATCATGACCTAAGCGCAAGTCGGACGCTTAACCGACTAAGCCACCCAGGCGCCCCCCACACTCCATTTTAAATGAGGTTTCCTTTAATTAATTTTCACAAAATGCTTATACTGCTCCACATTCCACTTGGGCCTCCTTGAGTTTGTACCCAAACCGAAAGGGGATTCCTTAATCGCAATTAAAGAAAAATCCTTGGAGGATGGGCCATTTTTACGAAGTTCTGCGTGCATCCATTTTCTTTTCTCAGATTAAAAGTATCTTGCTTTTTTCAGGCTTTAAAACGCATGCTTCCTGTTTGAAAAAAAAAAAGTCAGCCGCATGAATGCATTGCATTCTATGATTTCTCTGCCCTCCAGCACTTTTAAATATTCACCCACTGATTTGGTCAATGATTTTATTGTTATTTTAATTTGATTTGCATCTCTGTATTCCAATGAGGTGAAGTTTATTTCAAGCATCTTACATCAATAGTTCCTCTTTTGTGAACTTCCTGTTCAAGTCATTTGTTCCTTTCCCAACTAAGGAGAATTTAATCTTTTTCTTACTGATTTTTTAAATTAAAATAATTTTTTAACATTTATTTCTCTTTTAGAGACAGAGAAAGCACAAGCAGGGGAGGGGCAGAGAGAGAGGGGCAACACAGAATCTGAAGCAGGCTCCAGGCTCCCAGCTGTCAGCAATGAGCCCCATGTGGGGCTCGAACTTATGAAGTGTGAGATCATGACCTGAGCCGAAGTCGGATGCCCAAATGACTGAGCCACCCAGTTGTCCCTTACTGATTTTTAAAAAAAAAAGTTTATTTATTTTGAGAGAATGAGAGAGGAAGGGGCAGGGAGGGAGAGGGAGAGAGTCCCAAGCAGGCTCCGTGCTGTCAGTGCAGAGCGTGACTCAGAGCGTTTCTCGGGCGGAACCCAAGCACAATGAGATCACCACCTGAGCCGATACCAAGAGTCGGACACTCAACTGACTGAGCCACCCAGGCGCCCCCTTTTCTTACTGATTTTTAAGAGCTCTGTGGGAGGCCGAATTTTGGCTCCCTTGACCTTCACCTCCTGGCATCACACTAGTGGTTAAGGTAGGATAGCTGGCTAAAGGGATTTGCAGATGTAATTTAAGTTACTTATCAGCTGATTTTAAAAAATAAGATTATCCTGGTTATCTGCTGCGTCCAGTGTAGTTACAGGAGCCCTTAAAAGGAAAGAGCTGTGTGGGGCGCCTGGGTGGTTCAGTCGTTTGAGTGTCCGACTTCAGCTCAGGTCATGATCTCACAGTTCGATGGTTCGAGCCCTGCATCGGGCTCTGTGCTGCCGGCTAGCTCAGAGCCTGGAACCTGTCTTTGGATTCTGTGTCTCCCTCTCTCTCTGACCCTCCCCTGCTCATGCTGTCTCTCTCTCTCTCAAAAATAAATTAGAAAAAAAAAAAAAAAGGAAAGAGCTGTGGCAGAAGCAGGAAGTCAGAGAGATTGGAAAGCATCTTGCTGCACTTTGAAGCAGGAGAGAGATTCAGTGCACTCTTGCTTGCTTTGATGATGGAAGGGGCCATGCTGGAAGGAAGGTGGTGGGCTCTAGAAGCTGAGAATGACCCCGATGGACACCCAGCAAGAAACAGGGACTGGAGTCCTAGCCTCATGGCAATGAATCTACCAACTCTGTGGATGAGCCTGGCCCAGGCCAGCCAACACCTTGACTTTGGTCTTGTGAGGCCCTGTTGGGAGAACCCAGTCCAGCCGCTGGACTTCTGACCTCCAGGACTGAAAGATGATAAATGGGAGTAGTTTTAGGTAAATTTACTGGAATGTGTCACTACAGCAATGGAAAAAAATTTTGTGTTAATGTTAAAAACACTTCATATGTATGTTGCAAATATTTTTCAGGAGTGTTACTGGCCTTTTCAAGGTTTACTCTCAATTATATTTTATCTTTCTAGTTTCGTTACCAGAGGGTGAATTCAAGTTCCATTTTGGGGGGACACGCTTGGGGGGTGATCCCCGCGTGCCCAACACTCAACAGGCAAAACACAGACTCCTGGGCCCTGCTTCGAGTTTCTGATTCGGAGAGGGCCCGGGAATTTGCCTTTTTAACCAGTGCCCATGTGGTGCCGACGCAGCCGGCCCCGGGACCGCGGTCGGAGAGGGCATTGGAGCCCCTCCCCGGGGGAAGGAAGTTGAGCCCGCCCCCTGACAGGCGGGGCCTAGGGGGTTCCCGCCTCCCCACACGAACCCTCCGTTCTTATTGGCTGATGGCGAGGGGTATCCCCTGTGTCACGGCGCTGCCCGCTCCTCCTCCGGACCTCCAGGGGCGGGGACGCCACGCCTGCGCAGTGGAGCCCGCTCGCCGCTTCTGCGCTCCGGTGGAGGTCCGGGCGGCGCGCGGCGTCCCCATGGAGGACCCGCGGGCGGAGTCGGAGCCCCTTCTGAGCCGGGCCCGGGGCGGCAGCGTTGGTCCTGGTGAGCGGCGGCGTGGCGCGGGGAGCGGGCCGCGGGGGCGGCGCGTGGGGACCCGCCGATCCCGCGCAGTCCTCTGCGGTCGCTGCGGGCGCCCCCCGTCCCCGAGCCCCAGGCCGGGGTCCGAGGGGGCGCGGGGCGCGATGGGAGCCGCCCTGCGGACCCGGGCCCTGGCGCGGGTGCGGAGTCGGCCGGGCGCTCCAGGGTCGTGCCCTGCCTCCGACCGGCCAGCCTGGGGCAGCCACGCCGTGCAGCCCCCTCGATGGGCCTCGGGTGGACCCAGGCCTCGCAGGTCGCCTTGGTTGTTCCTAGGAAGCAGCACTTCCGTTTTCCTCCCGGTTATTATGGGGGAAACTGAGGCACGGAGAAGGGCGTGCGCATACTCAGGATCACCCAGCGGGGAAGTGGCTGACGTGGGATTCGGACCCAGCTGGGAGTAGACTTAGGAGCCCTTTCAGCCTGTCCTCTCATTCCCGGTGCCAGGAGGCTCCCCGGAGGCTGGTCCCCCTTCGGTTTGGGGTTGAGCCGGCCCCCCCCCCCCCCCCCCCCCCCCCCCCCCCCCCCCTCCCCTTGCCCTCCGCGGCTCCCTCCTGCCCTTCCTGTTTACCGTAGAGAAATTGCTGAATCCCGAGGAGGGCGGGAGGGTGGAGTCCACGGGCCTCCGGCAGACACCCTGGGGGCTGGGTTAGGAATGGAAGGACCTCAGCCTCACCTTGCAGAGAAGAAAACCGAGGCCCAGAGAGAGTCCCGGACGTGTCCAAGGTCAGCCCCGGGCCCTGCCGCTGCCCCGCCGCGCTGGGCGCTCCTTCCAGGGCCACCTTCTTTCCAGACTGACTTGCTTCCTGGGTCCAGGCAGGGCCTGTGGTGCGCGCCCATCCGTGGACTGGGGGCTGGGTGCCTGACAGACTAGAAGACTGGAGGCCGGGGCAGCCGCCTCAGAGGCTGTCCCCAGGAAGGTTCTCCATCCAGCCCCTGCCAGGGCCTCACAGGTCCCTGGACAAGGGACATAGGCCTCAGTGGCATTTGGGCGGGGGGTGGGGGGGGCGCAGACTTTGTGTCTGAAGGTCGGAGTGCCTTTCTCGTGCTGCCCCTTCTGGCTGTGTGACCTTGGCAGGTTGCCTAACCATTCTGAGCTCTCTCTTTCCAAGAGATCGCTGCGAATGCCCTCCGTCAGCACAGGGCCCGACCAGGTGGCAGAGATGCGGCAGTCGGTGCCGATGGCTGTTCTGGGCCGGGCGCCCTGACTCTGCAGGTCCCAGCCCCAGTGGGGCGGACGGCAGGCGGCTGAGACCTGCGTTGGGAGCTGGGAGCCAGGGCCAGGCGGCGAGGACCCTGAGAGAGGGCTCTTTGTCCCGACGCCACGCCTCGAGGAGGCCTCCCGAGAGCGTGAGGGGACGCTGCGTTCTGCGTCTCCCTGGCTGGGCTGTCGGCCCTGGGGCAGAGGGGGACCGGGAAAGGCCGGGGCTCCTAGGTGGGGTTCTGTGCGCGGGGTTTGCGCGTCCTGCAGTCAGGTCTTCCCACGCACAGGGGTCGGGGACTGGGCTGCCGGGGGCCCCACAGACCCTGAAGTCAGGACCCAGCCTCCCCTCACGGGCTGCAGGGCGAGGGTGGTTTTCTTGTTCCTGGCCAGGGAGTCCCCCGCCTTCTGGTTATGGGCAAGTCGGAGGCCGAGGGGTTGTTATGATACAGAAGGGGCTTTTAGAATAATAGCAAGTAGCTACAGCTGTCCTGGCGCATCTGACCAGTGAGGGGAAACTGAGGCACAGGTGAAGGGCCTTGCTTGCCCAGGGTCATCAGGGAGCTGGTCGGGGTCCCGGACAGGTAGGGCAGGGGGGAGCCTGGAGCAGGAAAGGGGGACTTAGACCCGGATGTCGAGGATGGTGGGCGGGGGGACTTGGGGCAGAGGCAGAGACGGGTCCAGCACTGACGGGCGCAGAGTTTGAGCCCCTGTTGTCCTCTGCTCTCTATGGCAGAGGCTCTACCCTGGCGTTCCGACCCGGCGTGCCCGGCGATTGCCCCCTGGGGAGGTGGTCCCTAGACCACCGAGTTGGGAGACTGCTCCCGGTGGGGCCTGCATCTGGGCGAGGGCTTGAGTGTCAGGACAGCTTGGTGTTGGCGGAGCCGAGTTCAAGATGAGTTCAGGATGAGTGGGGTGGAGGGCGTAGGGGGGAGGAAGCAGCGGGACAGGGAGGGGGCGTGGGCGAGGTGGGCGTCTGCAGCGCTAGGCTGAGGGCAGCGTGGACTTCCTCCTGGAGAGCTGGGGACTCGTGGGAAGCGGTGACGTGCTCACGACTGAGGTTTTGTGACAAGGTACCTCTGGCCGCTGGTGTCGGGGGCCGCAAAGCAGGTGGGATGGCCCCTTCTGAGGTTTGGGGTCCTGAGGCCCAGGCGGGAGGTCTGATGAATGCCGGACAGTTCCCGGGCGCCTGACACCCCTGCCAGTGATGGCTTGCCCGGCCGTGAGCCCCTTCAGCCGCACCTGGGCGTGGAGTGAGCCCAGAGGCCCTTCTTGTCCAAGAGGCTTGTGTCCTTAGATCCCTCCAGGCTGAGACCCCATCTCTTATCCGGGATTTGGTAACGCGGGGCCTCTGCCGTGCCCTCACAGGCTCCCTCATCCACTGTTCACGTGTTCCCTCGATAAAGAAGCTTGGAGGGCCACCGTGCGCCGAGCCCTGCACCGCCTGGGGCTCTGTGGTCCCGCAGGGAAGAGAGCCCAGTGCCATCTGATCACAGTTCCCAGGATGCTGTCGGGGAAGCAGGCAGCCGCCACCCTCACAGCCTCCTTGGGAGGACTTTCAGGGCGAGCATGGAGGTTATATGTGGGGGGAACCGAGGCCCAGAAGGAGGCGGGCGCTTGCTTTGGGTGACGCGAGGGGCACCGGCAGAGCCAGGACAGGGTCTAGTCTCCTACCTGTGTCCAGGGTCCCCCGCATCCCTGATTGGCCCCCGGCCCTGCTGCAGGAGCCCTGCGAGCGGGTGCACTTCTTCCCTGGGGGCGGTGGGCAGAGGAGGGCAGTGGCCCACCGTCTGCTCGGCCGCTGGCTTAGGGACCTGTGCTCCAGAGGCATGCACACGTCTGCATTTTCTCTTTGCTAGTTATGGGCCGTTTTCAGGAGCTGCTGGCCCAAAGGGACCACGTGTGGAAGTAGAATCTTCAGCAGAAACAGCTGCGCTATCATTTCCCTGCTCCGGGAGCTGCTGGGGGCTGCGTGCCGACTCTTCTCCCCAGTGGGGCCCCGGCTGCACCCTGTCTCCTGGACCCTGGCAGTGGGGTTCCTCTGTGGCTGCGAACCACGGCTCCTCATGCCTTTCTTCTTTCCTTGCGTCAAGCAACAGCTTCTGCAACGAAGCCATAGAGCTGGCGCTAGCCCACGATCGGGGGACACAACCTGAGGCCACAGGGACTGCTCTCGTGGGCAGCTTACGGCTCCTGGATGGGCAGGGGCCGGGGCGCTGGGAGGGCTTCAAGCCTCCCGACTTGCACTGAAGACCCCTTGTAGTCGGGAGCCTGCTGGGGCCCCGCGGAGGCTCCATCCGCCCTCCTGTGCCCTTAGGCCCCAGTTGCTAGCTGGTGAAGGTGGCAGGCGGGTAGCGTCAGCTGCCCATTTATTGAGCACACTCGTGTGCCAGGCCGGTTCTGGGGCTCTCTCATGTGCAGACTTGCCGTGGGGCGAAGGGCCGGCCGTTCCGGAGCCTTGGGAAAGAAGGTCCCCGGGTTCTGTCCTTGATCCCAGCAGTCCCGTGGCAGGTGAGCGTCATGCAGTCCCCTTGTCACCCCATGTGCTGTCTCTGCTTGCAGGCGCCGCATCCGGGAGGGATCTCTGCTTCGACCAGGCTGCTGTCTTCATCGAAGATGCCATCCAGGTGGGCGGCACCTGTCCCCCGTGGCTGGGCCTGGGCCCTTCTCCGGGTTTTGCGGGGACTGGGTGATGGCTGCCCCGCCGGTCCCCTCCTTGCTGCCCTGGGGTCAGGGCCCTGGTTGCGGGACCACGCGGTCATGCTAACCGTGGTGATGGGGCCTTTGGGCACGGCTTGCCGGGAGTCCTTCCCAAAGCGGGTGGGCGCTGGGTGCTCTTTCGAGGCCTGAAAATGCTTGCTTCATTGAGTTACCTCCTACTAAGGGCCTGTTCCAGGGCGTGTGAAAGACGCTCAAAGATGGCCAGCCTGTCCCCGGCTGGAAAACGATAGTGAGGCTCGACTAGGGAAACAGAATATGGAAGGGAGCGCTGTGCCACGTTGGGGGAGGGGGCTGGAGACTGACCCCGTGGTGGGGGAGGGCCTTGCACCGCAGCCAGGTGAGCCTCATTGGCAGGCGGAGGGCACAGCTGTACATTCAGAAACAGGCTCAGGGGCGCCTGGGGGCTCAGTCAGTGGAGCATCTGACTTCAGCTCAAGTCATGATCTGACAGTTTGTGGGTTCGAGCCCCGCGTCGCGCTCTGTGCTGACAGCTCAGAGCCTGGAGTCTGCATCAGATTCTGTGTCTCCCTCTCTCTCTGCCCCTCCCCCACTCATGCTCTGTCTCTCTCTGCCTCAAAAATAAATAAGGTATAAGAAAAAAATTTTAGAAACAGGTAGAAACAGGCGTCCACACGGGGCAGTGATGCTTAGGGTGTTCTGAGTCTATCTGCTAATGTGGCCCTGCTGGGTCACAGGAGCGCCCTTGGTCCACGTATGTGGCTGCAGTGGACTCCGGCCCATGGCTTGTCTCCCCACCCAGGGCCTGTCGTGCAGTCAGCAGGCGCCCTGCACGTGGCTGGCTGTGCTGCGCGGCTCTGAGGGGACCCCCGCTCATGGCTCTGCGTGCTTTCTGCTTGCAGTACCGTTCCATTAACCACCGCATGGATGCCAGGTCACTGTGGCTTTACCGACTGTATTACTCCAGTGCCTGCCAGTGGTGAGAAGGGGCTCCCCTGCGGCCTGGCTTGGGGGGGGCGGCCTCAAGGTCCCTAAGGAGCCACTCTCTGCTTTCTTCAGAGCCCAGCCTGTGGCAGGCGGGGCCCTCCTGGGGATGAGGTCCTGCCAGCCGAGGGGTTCGGGGCTGGGCGCCGTCGGCTGGTGGCTCGGGTGGGCACGGACCAGGGGCGGGGCTTTGCCCTTGGAAGGCTGAGCCTGTCCTGTGGGCCCCCCGCCCTCCGCCCGTGGATGCGCTCTGTGGGCCGGGCGTTGCTGGCTTGTGTGTTTCAATTCGTTTCTGTTCCTTTTTCAGGACGTTGAGCTTCACCATTTCCCTGATCCTGCTCTTGGCTTTTATCGAGACGCCTTCGTCGCTCACCAGCACGGCGGACGTGCGCTACCGCTCGGCCCCCTGGGACCCGCCCTGTGGCCTCACTGAGGGCATCGAGCTGCTCTGCCTGCTGGTCTTTGTGGCCGACGTGTCTGTGAAGGTGAGCCGGCTGCCATCGGGTGCAAGAGTGCAGGGGCCGGAGCCCCCTCAGCCCGCGGGCTGTGCTCCCGGTCAAGTCTTACGCTCCCGAAGCTGTCTGCCTTTTTCTCTGACCACGCTCTGCCCCTGCGAGCAGAGGCCTGGCTTGGTTGGTGCATAAGAGATCCCGTCACCCCCTCCCCCTCCCCAGACTAAAGCAAGTCTGGGCTCCAGCCTGTTGGGTGCATGGCCTCGTGGGGCCTCCGGGAGCGGCCGAGGGTCTGGCTGTGTCTCTGTGAGGAGAGGCCCTGGCACGAGAGAGGACTGACCGGTGGTCTCTGTCGCGGGCCACCCTCCGGTCCCACGAGGGGTGGAACGCGGAGGAGGGGGGCGTGGGCTGGGAAGGGGCCGCTGCCGCGCGGCTGTGTGTCTGACTCTGACCTGGGTCCTTCTGGGCCCCGTCCTTCTCACTCAAGCTTCCGGGCCATGTCAAAGTTCAGTGCAGTGGTGCCTTCCCAGCACGGTGCCCAGGGGCCGAGAGGTCTTCTGTGGGGCACGTCCTGTAACTTTGGTCAAATGGGGGTGATCCACGTGGCAGCGCTGGCCTGGCCGCCAGGCAGCGCAGGGCCTTTCCCCTAGGATGGGCTGTCCCCAGAGTCCTGCGGGGCCTTTGTCTGGGGCCTGAGGGGCTGTCCTGCCGTGGGGGTGGCTTTGGGCCCCTGCTGTTGGCACTGTGGGGGTGGGGGCCTGAGGGCCCCGGCAGTTTCGCATCGTTCCTTTTTTAGCCCACGATGTATTTAGGGGGCTGGGAGTTTTCAGACTGGAACTGAAACTGGGGAGCGGCTCCATTAGCATCTTCTGAATGGTTGGTACGTTTGGGAGGCCTGAAAAGATAGAAGACGTTTTTACTTGCATGCTGTGACCTCCAGATGCCCCTGCTGCCCGCGGGGCCCTTGACACCTGGCCAGCGGGCCCCAGAGGAAGACCCAGGGCCTGGTCTAGACAGTTCTGGGGGTGGGCCAGCCCTCACCAGAAGCGGACCACAAGTGCCCTTCCTCCCTTTCCAGAATGGCTCTTTTCCGGAGGCTGGGATGGGCAGAACTGATGAGGACACAGGCCAGGGTGGTTCAAGTGCTCGAGGTCGCTGGCGGGCTGCGCGTGGAGCCCGGCTTCTTGCTCCCCAAGGCATGCAGGGACCGCACCCCTCGCTGAAGCGCTCTCTGCTTCGGGTGCCCCAGCCTCACCCCTGCACGTCGAGGGCCTCGGGCTGGCTGCAGGGCCGGTGTCTGCGGGGCGGCCCGCTCACCCGCCGCCCCTCTTGCAGAGCTACCTGGTCGGGTGGGCCCAGTTCCGGAAGAACGCCTGGCTGCTGGCCTACCTGCTGGTGCTGGTCGTGTCCCTCGCCGACTGGATCGCGTCGCTGAGTCTGGTGTGCCAGGAGGTAGGTGGCGTGGGGCCTCCGAGGTGGGAGCGGGGAGCCCTGGGTGGCCTGTCCTCTGCCCAGCTCTTCCCACCCTCCTGGCAGTTCAGCCGCTGGCCTTGTCCTGTCCTGCGGAAGGAGGAGCTGGGCCTGGGGGGGCGGCCCACAAGGCCTCCTAATCCCTGCCTCCCGCTGGCCAGCTGAGCCCCTTGCTTGGCCGGGTGCCCCGGGGCCTCACCCTCGCTGCGCGCCCAGAGCTCTGTGGGGCCCCAGACCTCTCTGGCTGCGGCATCCCACCCTCCACCCCCCAGATGCTCTGCCCTGTAACTGGGTGGAGCAGGAGCTGGGGAAGCGGGTACGGGGACATCTGTGTCCATCAGGGCCACTCAGGGCCACCAGCCCATCGGCTGCTTCAGCCAAGAGAGCGTCTGTAGGGGCTTAAGCAGGTGCTGAGTAACTGACAAAGCGGAACGGGGCCCGGGACACAGAGCCGCAGGAGGCTCAGGGGAGGGTCCCCCAGAGCCGGCGCCCTGCCCCCAGTGTCTGGAGGAACACAGACCACTGGGGTCCCCTCCGGAGATGGCTTGGTTCTGGGAGCGATGGAAGCCGGGGAGGCTGGCAGCCCCAGGGCGGGGCCACTGCCCGAGGGGCAGCAGGGAATGTCCGTCAGCCCCTCTGGGGTCCCAGCCTCTCTCCAGCGCCCTCACTGGCAGAAGCAGGCAGGAAGCAGCCGCTGAGAGAGCTGCAGGGGGGACGGGGGAGGGCGCAGGGCCCGCCTCCCGCTTCCTGGCAGGAAAGAGGCTTGGAAGCTGGCGCACAGCTCAGGCCCCTCTTTCTAACCGGCTGGGCTGGGTGGGGGGGTGGGCGCTAACCGATACTCTGAAGTTCTCTCCCTGTGCGCCCCGTGGCCCCTGCCTCGCCCAGCTCCCCAGCAGCTCGGGGCTCTTCACCTCGAACGGGGACCCAGGCCTTCGTTCCCGGGCAGTCTGCCCTCGGCGTCCTGCCTTTTTTGATCACTGGAATTTTCTGATAATCTTCTCACACTGGCTATGCCTCAGGGTCCCCGACCTGGACCTCCCTACTCCACCGGGCAGCAGGCGCCAGGCTGTCCTTGGCCGTTGGACACCCCCCCCAGACTCCCCTCTGCTTTTTATGAATTCTTAGGGTATGTCCTTGGTGGAAAGTTTTCAGGAGCAGCCAGACACTGAGTTGGGGGGAGGGGAGTCGCCGTTCCTGATCTATCCTGGTGTTCAGAGCCTCTGATGCACCTTCTGGTCCCGCGGAGGGCTGCCCCCCACAGTGGGGGTCACAGAGCCTGCCTGGGGCTGCCGGGCCCTCCCACGGACCAGCCACTTCAGGGTGAGGGGCCATGGGGAGGCCGTGAATGCTGTGGGGCTCCTGAGGCTCAGAGGGTGGTCCCCCCAGGCAGAGCCCCGGCCCGCGTGCCTGTCTGTCCAGTGAGGATAGCGCCCCTGGCTGGGGAAGGGGCACACGGCAGGCACCCACCCCTGCCGGGGGCCGCATCGGGGTGGGTGAGCTGAGCTGGGCTCTGCTTCTGGAGGGTGAGCCGTCAGCAGTGGCCTTGGGGGAGGGGGGGAGAGGCTCGGACATTACAGGACGTGTCATTCTGTGTCTGTGGGTGTTCATCTGCCCATCCACATGCGTGCTTCCCGGACCTCGTTCCCTGTCGTCCGGCCTGCTCTCTCTGTGCCCTGATCCCAGGAATTGTCACCTTTCCCATGCAGACAGGGCGGACCCCACTCACTGCCACGCTGTCCCTTCAGTGCCATCTCTGGGGGATCTTCCTGATGGAGGCCGTAACGCCGCACGAGGTCCCCTTCTGGGTAGCGTCAGCCCCTCCCCCAGAACCGCCGACAAACCAGGCCCGGGGTTTTCCCCTGGGGCCAGCTGGCCAGTCATAACTCACACAGGCACCAGGGCAGGGGGGGGCGGGCGGAGGACCAGGGGCCTCCAGCCTAGTCTCTCATGTCCATTTCCACCCTGTGGTCTGGGGGGGTTCACATCCCACACGGTCTACCGGTCATGGTCACGACTCTGCTGTGCCCCTTCCTCACGGGGACTGGGTATCGGCACGTTAGCTGCTGAGCTGTGATCGTGTGTGGGCCTCCCAGGGGTGCCCCACCCTGCACTAGGCTGGCGTCTAACGGACTTGAGTCTCGTGGGTGAACCTTCCCATCCTTCAGAGAGGCCACATGTCTCTGTGTCCATGACCCTGATGTGGCCCCAGTGTTAGGAGGGCTCTTGGCAGGTTGCGTCTCCACACCCGGGGAGAAGCCACACCCGGTCCCGTGTCTGATTACGGGTGAGGGTCTAAACCCCCGGGTGCGGGTGCTGGGGGGACCTTCGGCCCCTGCCCGGCTGGAAGATTCGGGAACCGGACCCTGAGACGAGGTTCCATCCCGGGGCAGCGAGCGGATCGTGGGGGAGCTGGGGACACCGGGGCCATGGCCCTGAGTGTCCGTCCACTGCTGTTTGCTTTGGCTTTCTCGGACCTGTGCCGGGAGCGCGAGTAGCCCAGGGAGGTTGAGTCAGGCCTAGGGACCACCTGTTGTGCAGACAGTCCGGAGGGTCTCTGCGAGCCAGTGCTGGTGGGACCTCACTCGGTCGTGGCAGAGACCCCAGATACGTGGTAGGGTTCCAGAGCGCCGCGGGGTGGTGCTGGGGCGGTGCGTTCGCCCAGGGACGGGAGGGACGGCCGCCCCCTCCCGCTGAGCAGAGGTGGGGGTGGGGGGGGCTGAGACGCCGCAGGGCGGGCCCAGGAAGTCCGCAGGGCGTGGGGGGTCAGCTGTGCTCGGACAAGAAGCCTGGCGGGGCCGGAGTCTGGAGCTGAGAGCTGGGATGGGCGGTTGAATGTGGGAGGACAGATCCTGAACGTGACCCTGAATACCCGAGAGGCTGCTCCGCTCCCTGGAGTGCGAGGCCCCAGAGGGCAGGAGGGGCTCTGGGCGCCCGCGCTCAGGGCCGGGTCCCGGGAGACGGCACTGGGCAGACTCAGGCCTGGAGGTCAGCGGGCAGGGGGACCGGCTGGGTCTGGAGGGGGCGTGTGGGGCCGGTGGAGGGGTGAGGGTTCTGTGCTGAGTGATGGTGTTAGCGGATGAGGAAGAAGGGCGCCTGAGGGAAGCCCTCCGGAAGGCCGGGCGTCCTGAGGGCAGTGGGGGAGGAGCTCTCCTTGGCTCTGACCAGGAGGAAGGGGGGAGGAGGAAACGGGGGTGCGCCTGCGGGGTGCAGAGTCACGGCCCAGTGTCTGTGCCAGGGGTGAGGCCGCAGCTGGGGGGTGGGGGCAGGGGAGGAGCCAGGAGCTGGGAGCACCCCCTGGGTTCTCTGATTGCAGGGGGTGGCCCCTTGGCAGGGATGTGAAGAGGAGGGGGTGGGGCCCGAGGTTGGAGTTGGGGCGCACTGGGGGGCGGGAGGGGGTTCTGAGCGGGGCCTTCGGCCTCCTGTCTCTGGGCTGGGGCAGGGGGGGCGGGGGCCGGTCTGGGCGAGGCCCGGGGCTCCTCACCACCCCCTCGCCCCTGCTGCCACCCCCTCGCCCGTGCTGTCCCAGCCTGGGTGGAAGCGGAGACCCTCCTGCTGTTTTTCAGCCCATGCGGATCCGCAGGCTTCTTCGCCCCTTCTTCCTGATGCAGAACTCCTCCATGATGAAGAAGACGCTCAAGTGTATCAGGTCGTCGCTGCCGGAAATGGCCAGGTGGGCCCTGGTGCCTGGCTGGCCGGGCAGCTGTGCTCTCCTGCTCCCTGCCGTGCCGTGGGGCGCCGGGACTGGCCTGGGTAGGCCGGTCGGGGGGTGTTTGGGGGCCTCCCCTGCCTGCTGGCGGCAGAGCCCTGCAGATGATGCTCCCTTCCCAGGGGTCTGTGGCCGTGACCCTTCCCTGCCCGCTCTCCTGCCCCCCACCGACTTCTTCCTCAGCCCCCTCCCCGATGGCTCACGTGGGTGACCCCTCACGGTCCAGCCCAGATGGGTGGGTGTGGCCGTCCCCTTGAGACAGCGGGGTCCTTGGACCCCCAGGAGATGCACTTGGGGTCCCTGATCGTCCTTGCGGGGGAAGGAGGGCTCCTTTGTGGGGGACCAAGAACTGAGTGCAGGGCAGGGAGCTCCCCGTGCGGTGGGGTTGGCTGTCCCTCGCGCCCCGTCCCCTTCGGTGCGTGCGATGCGTGTCCCGTGTTGAGCGCCCTCCCGCCCCCGCCCCCTCAGCGTCGTGCTGCTGCTGGCGCTGCACCTATGCGTCTTCACCATGTTGGGGATGCTGCTCTTCACGGGCGAGAAGGTATGTGCTCCACTCTGTCCCTGCCCGGGGCCTTGGGGTTTGGGTCGGCGGGGTGACCCTTAGGGAAGCCTCCAGGTCGTTCTCAGGCCCCGGTTAGGCTGCCTTCCCTGCCTCACGACCAGGGTCGGTGTTGGCCCACCCAGGTGGCGGGTGGCTCTCCGCGTAGCCGCTTTCCCATGTGCCCCCGATGGGGCCCCCATCTACCCCCCGCCTCGTGGGCTCAGGGCTAGTCTGCCTGGCTGCCCTCCTTCTCCTTTCTTCTCCCCTCCCTGCCCCGGCAGGGCGCTGACTCGGCTTTCTCTGCACCCCTGTTGGACGGAGGCCCCCTCAGACTGGCCGGCACCACCGCCCCCTTCACGGCCCCTGCCCGTCCCCCCTTCCTCTCCTCACAGTGGGCTTTGCCCTCCCCTGAGCCCCCTTCCCCTCCAGCTCCCTGCTGCTGCTTGGCCCCCGGCCGTTTGTTGCTGTGTGGAGGTGTCTCCCACCTGTCACCCCGGTGCCCCCACCCTGAGCTGTCCTGCGTTTGTCCTGCGAACGTGGCTGGCGGTCACCCGAGGCCACTTGACCTCGTGGTGATACTTGGGGTTCAGGCTGTGCTGGCCGTGAGGGAGGGCTGAAGACTGTCCCTCCGGACTCCGGGAGGTCTGGAGCTGCCGTGTGTGTGTGTGTGTGTGTGTGTGTGTGTGTGTGTGTGTGTGCGTGCGTGCGTGCGCGCGCAGTGGTGTGATTGTGTATGCTGTGTGTATGTCTGTGTGATTGTGTATGTCTGTATGTGTCTGTGGTGTTGCGTGTGTGTATAAGTGGTGGTGTGGTTGTGTGTGTGGTGTTGTGTGTCTCTGTGCTGTGTGTGTTGTGCGTGTGGTGTTGTGTGTCTCTGTGCTGTGTGTGTGTGGTGGGGTTTGTGTGTGTGTGTGTGTGTGAGTGTGTGTGTGTGGTGTTGTGTGTGTGTGTCTCAGCCAGGGTGGCTGAGAGCTTTCCCACGGTTCCTGACAGACCCCCTTCCGTGGCCGGTGGCCCCGTGGCCATGCGGCCTCCCTGGACGCTGGCTCTTGGGCCCAGAGGTCCTGAGCTGGGGCCTGAGTGTCTGCGAGCGCAGAGCCTGCTGGGAAGTGATGGGGCCGCGCAGGTCAGGCGGTGCCGGCCTCACGGTGGGTGGTGCGGTGCCGGCTGCACAACGGCGCCTCCGAGCTGCCGCGTTTGCTCCCAGCAGGGCGACGGGAGGGACCGGGAGAGGCTCACCTATTTTCGCAACCTGCCGGAGGCCCTGACGTCCCTCCTGGTGCTGCTGACCACGGCCAACAACCCGGACGGTGTGTGCGGGGCGGGGGGCGGGGGGCGGGGCGGGGCCGCGCTCCGGGGGCGCGGGTGCCGAAGGCCTTCCTGCCCGTCGCCTGGCGGAGGACGAAGAGGGTGGCGTGGGGTTCCCTCCTGCGTTCGTTCCTTGATCTTCTTTCCCTGTTTGTCTTTTCCCTTCTTCCTGCCTTTTTCCTTTTTTCTGTTTTTTCCCATCTCCTCTGCTCACATCCCCCCCTCCTCCACGCTCTGTCCCCTTCGCCTGTCTCTGTCCCGTCTCCCGACTTCGCCAGGAAGCTAAGAATGAATGAGGTGACAGGGTGGTGTGTTTGGCGGGGCCCCTGGTGGCTTCCTCTCGGAGGCCTGACCACTTTCCCGTTGCAACGCACCCGGCCCGGCTGCGGGGTGCGGCTCGGCCCTGGGGCTCAGGGGGCTGTGGTACTCATGTTCGGGGGTGCTGCGGGGCCCCTCTGGGCGGGCAGTGTGGCCGGGGTGGGGGCCATGGGCCTCCAGGGCTTGGCTGCTCTGGCCAGTGACTTGCGTCGTGGGTGCGGGGGTGACCCCCAGTCACAGAGACCTTCCTGGGAGGGTGGCCCCTGCTTCCGCACCCAGGAAGAGCTGTGCAGTGGGGCCTGACCATTGTCCCCACATGTGCTGTGAGTCCTAACAAGTCACCCGAGGGAGAGCTGAACTTCCAGTCTGCGGGCAGCTCTCAGGGGGTCAGATTCAGCTTCAAACTTCAGTGTAAGGGAGGAGCAGCCTCAACAAGTAGTGAGCCCCCCGTTGCAAGGGTGTGCAGGTGGAGGCTGGGGGTCAGCACTGGACCAGAGACCTCCTGGGTCTCCCGGCCAGAACCCTTCTTTCCTCTGGGAGACAGACGGTGTGGGACCTGGACAGGAACTAGACGGGATGCCTCAGTTTCTCCATGTTCTCTCTCCCAGTGATGACTCCCGCATACTCCAGGAACCGGGCCTACGCCATCTTTTTCATAGTCTTCACCCTGATAGGTATGTTCCGGGGGGGGGGGGGTCTTCAGGGGTCCCTAGGGACAGGCTTCTGGCCCCAGTGGGAAGATTGAGTGCTGTGGTTTGAGTGTGCCCTCCCGACCCCGTGACATCCCCTCAGTGGCCTCCCGACCCCGTGACGTCCCCTCAGTGCCCTCCCGACCCGGTGACCTCCCCTCAGTGGCCTCCTGACCCCGTGACGTCCCCTCAGTGCCCTCCCGACCCGGTGACGTCCCCTCAGTGGCCTCCCGACCCCGTGACGTCCCCTCAGTGCCCTCCCGACCCCGTGACGTCCCCTCAGTGCCCTCCCGACCCCGTGACGTCCCCTCAGTGCCCTCCCGACCCCGTGACCTCCCCTTGGTGCCCTCCCGACCTTGTGACATCCCCTCAGTGCCCTCTCTGCTGACCTTACCTCAGTGCGTCCCTGGCCCCACTGCTTCCCCTCAGTGACCTCCCCTCATGTACCCTCCAACCTCATGACTTCTCAGTGTGACCGTCTTGTGGTGTTTGGTCCATGACCACTGATGGCCCCTGTCCTCTGTGCCCAGGGCTGGGCAGGCCTGGTGTCCCGTGTGTTCATTAGGGGAGGACGGGGCTGTGTGCAGGGTGACCGGGGTGTCCCGGGCACCTGACGGGAGCCATGAGCACGCTCTGCTCTGTGACTGTCCGGGCCCTTCTTGCTGCCCCCTGGGGGTGGCCGTGCCCACGTCTGCCCTCTGCGCCCCTGGGGCTGCTCCCCCCCGGACCCTGCCCGCTGACTGCGGCTGTTTCCACTCGAAGGAAGCTTGTTTCTGATGAATCTGCTGACGGCCATCATCTACAACCAGTTCCGGGGCTACCTGATGGTGAGCCGGGCCGCTGTCCCCATTCCTGCACGGGCAGCTGCGTCGGACGCCAAGTGGGGCGCGACTCGACGGGCCGGGTGGTCTGCGCGGTGAAGGGCGGCCGGGGGTGGGTGGCAGTCCTGGTGGTCTCCGCGCTGCCTCCCAAGGGGGAGCAGGGGTCGAGGCACCTCCTCGCTGCCCAGGCGGTGCTGTCACCACAGCCCCCAGAGGCTACTTCTAGAGGGAGGCCTGGGGGTCGCCCCTCCCGGGCAGGTGGCCCCGAGCCCGCCGTGTGTGAGAGCTGGGGCCCCGGGTGTGCAGAGTGGAGGCACACTTTGGTGAATTCTGTGGGCTGGGAGGGCTTTGCCCCTGGTGCCCGAGGGGATGAGGGCTGCTTCCAGCTGTGGGCAGGCAGGCACCCCTGCACAGGCCGCTGCACAGGAGGGGGGGTGTGGCCAGAGAGCTGGACAGGAGGGGTGCAGCTGGGAGAGCTGGACGGGAGGGGGTGCGGCCAGGAGAGCTGGACAGGAGGGGTGGGGCCGGGAGCGCTGGACAAGAAGGGGTGCAGCTGGGCGAGGCCTGACCCCGCCGCTCAGGACCATCATCCTTGCAGAAATCCTTCCAGACCTCGCTGTTCCGGAGGCGGCTGGGGGCCCGGGCCGCCTACGAGGTCCTCTCCTCCCTGAGCGCCCAGGGAGAAGCCCTCCCTGCAGGGTGAGTGCTGGCGTGCCCGGGAGCCCCTCTCCCCGGGGAAGTGGGGGTGGCTGCTGCCGGGAGGGAGCCCCTCAGGTGGGCGTTTCCCGGGCACTGCCTCTGCCCAGCTCCCCGCGGGCTGGGCCTGACGGTCCTGAGGACGCTGCCTCCCTGGTGCCGCGGGGTCTGCTGGTCTCCTGAGTTGACTCCCTTGCCCTCCTGCGCCCTGGAGACCCTGGGCTTGTAAGGGCCAAGTGGCTCCCCCCCGCCCCGACTGTGCCGTTCCCGCGCCCCTGCACCTGGGTGCCCAGCGGGGCTTGCTCTGGAGGTAGTGTCGGTGTGGACAGCTTGTCAGCCGTGGCGCCCTGCCATTCTGCCCGCTACTCTTGAGCGCCAGCGTGCCCCTCTCAGAGGCAGGACAGTAGCGTCCTGGGGGTTTAGATGACAAGGCGTCCCAGCGAGTGCCTGTGGTCGGCTCTCTCACGGAGGCCGTGTCTTCGCGTCTCTTCCCAGAGTCGGGGTGAAGCCCCAGGACTTCCTGCATGTGCTTCAGAGAGTGCAGCTGCACAGTCAGCACAGACAGGTCATCATGGAGGTACGGGAGCCCCCCTGCCCCTTGCCCCCCTCACCCCGTGCTTTGTGCGCCCCCGGGAGCTCACGCCAGCCAACAACCCTGTTTCAGCATGGGGTGTCATTGCAGATCAGCCAGGGCTGGCCCAGGTCGCGTGGGGCTGGGGACAGTGCACCCTCCTGTCCCGGGGGCTGCGTGGGGCTGGGACGGCGCGCCCTCCTGTCCCCCGTCGGCCCGGCTGACCCCTGCTGCCCTGTGTTTCTGTCCTTTGTAGAAGGTACGTTCCTATGGTAGCGACCTGCTATCAGCTGATGAGTTTCAGAAGCTCTTCAATGAGTTCGACAAAAGGGTGATCAGAAAGGTAACTCGAGTCTCCCCAGCTTAGGGCCGGGCCCCCCGGGGTGGGCAGGGAAGTTTACGGTGTCTGTTGGCGTAGGCCACCCGGGTGACCCGAGTCAGGGCCAGGACTCGGCTTCCCGGGGATCCCGGCCCCCAGGACGGTGAATGGGAACCGGGATCGCTGGGCTTTTGGAAACCAAGGAAGTTTTGTTAACCCGACGCGATTTGCAGACCACAGGGCCTTGCCTGGGCCACGTCCAACTCAGGGAACCTTCTGGATGGTTTTCCCTGTCTCCATGGCAAACTCTTACCTACTTCCCTTGTGTCCTTCCTTGGAGGTTCCTGAGTTTGTCCAAAGCGTTTGTCCTTTGTCCTTGGCACCGATCTGTGAAGTCCCTAGACAGGCCTTGGCAGGTGGCTCTGCACTGTGTCCGGAAGACTGCTGTTCTGTGTCAGTTATTAGGGCGTAATTTACGTGTACTTGTCACAGAACGCTTTCCGTCTGGTGGTAAACACTTGGTGTGTATTCAGATGCCTGCCTGATGGTGCATCGTGGTTTACCTAAGCCGTCGGCGCCCACTAGGCTCTTACTACCTCTCTCGTGGTGTTCAAAGACTATGATGAGTGTCTTTGTGCAGCTATTTCTATGTTTGAGATTATTTTCTTAGGCTAGAGAGACCGGGATGAGAGAGAAAGTAGGAGAAAGTCAAATCCCAGAATAAGGGGGTGCGGACACTGGAGGGCTCCCAATGGCCGCGTGTTTGTGAGCACCGCGTGTTCCTCCCCAGCGCCCGCCGCGGCCCGAGTACCGGTCTCCCTTCCTGCAGAGCGCCCAGGTCCTCTTCAGCCACCGCTACTTCGACTACCTGGGGAACTTCATTGCCCTCGGGAACCTCGTGTCCATTTCCGTGCGTGTGGGCTCGGCCTCGTGTGGACGCGCCCCCTGCCCCTCCTCCCGCCCCCCTGCCCGCGGTCTTGCCGCGCCGGCATCCCGGGCCGGGCTGGCGAGCTGCCTTCTGCTCTGGCCCCTGCAGGTGTTCTTGGTGCTCGACGCAGACGTGCTGCCCGATGACCGTGACGACTTCGTGCTGGGGGTGAGTCGCGTGGCCTCCCTACCCCCTCCTGACCCGGGGCGCCCCCAGAGGAGGGTGCGGGGTGCCGGCCCGGGAGCGGCTGGGGCGGTGGAGGCGGCGGGTGGGGCCGCCCGCGTCTCCCCGGCTCGTCCAGCCCTGGGATTTGAGCTCCTTCCTTGGTGCTACACCGGCTGCTCAAACTCCGGGGTCTGAAAACGGTTTTTCCATTTTGGATGAAAGTAGCCCCGACGCGCCCATGTTACTTAACGTCAGAACCGCGTGTACCAGAGCAGGTGTTTCACAGGGAGGGACGGAAACGACGGAATCTTCTCTAGTTGCGCAGGAAGCTGTCTGACTTGTCTGGTTTCCTGCGCCCGGACAGATACACGCTGCGTCTTCCATGTGAGGTTTATCCTCATCTCAAAATCGAAACAATGGCTTCTCTGACCTGATGCTTGAAATTCCCATATTTTACATTTCAGGAGCATCAAATTTTCTTCGTTTCTTATTTCTGTTGTGTTTTTCTTTCCCGAATGACCTCAGAAAGCTTCAGTCTCCTTATGAATCACGTATTGTAGAGGTGGCTGGTTTTCATCCCTGACAAAAGTCAGATTGGATACCTTGATCTATATTTTATCTTTTTTTCTTTTTTAATGTCTTTATTTTTGAGAGAGACAGAGACAGAGTGTGAGCAGGGGAGGAGCAGAAGGAGAGGGAGACACAGAATCCGAAGCAGCTCCGGGCTCTGAGCTGTCAGCACAGAGCCCGACCCAGGGCTTGAACCCACAAACCGTGAGATCATGACCTGGGCCGAAGTCAGACACTCAACCAACTGAGCCACCCAGGTGCCCCCCATCGTTTTTTTTTTATTCTTTTTAAAAAAGAGAGTGCACTGATTTGAGAAGAGGAATGAGGTGGGGGGGGGGAGACAGAGAGAGAGAGAGAGAGAGAGAGAGAGAGAGAGAGAGAGAGAATCTCAAGCAGGCTCCATGCTCAGTGTGGAGCCTGATGCAGGATTTGATCCCATGACCTGAGCTCAAATCAAGAGTCAAACTCTTAACCAACCGAGCCACCCAGGTGCCCCTATATTTTAACTCTTTCAGCGTTAATTGTTCAGCACTAAGTCCACTTAGTGGTATATGAAAGTTTTGTGGTCGGATGGGGTCTGACAGCAATCTCTTCATGGGTGTGAGCGAGGCGACACTAAGGATACGGAATTTGGACTGCACACCTGGGTGAGGTGCTGGCGCCGCCCACGCCTCCCCACCCCCGGGGCTCTGTGCACGCACTGGGGCGGGGCTGTGAGGCCCTTGAAAGGAAGAGCCCCAGGGGTGCCCGGGTGGCTCAGTGAGTTAAGCGTCTGACTTCGGCTCAGGTTTGTGCTCACGGTCTATGGATTCGAGCACTGCGTCGGGCTCTGTGTTGACAGCTCGGAGCCTGGAGCTGCTTCAGATTCTGTGTCTCCCTCTCTGCCCCTCCCCTGCTCACATTCTGTCTCTCTTCTGTCTCAAAAATGAATAAACATTAAAAAAAAGTTTAAAAAAATAAAGGAAGAGAGCTCTGCTGTATTTTACTTTCTGGCTTCAAAAAAGACAGGGACCCAGGGGCACCTGGGTGGCTCAGTCGGTTAAGCATCCGACTTCGGCTCAGGTCATGATCTCACGGTTCGTGGGCTCGAGCCCCGCATCAGGCTCTGTGCTGACAGCTAGTTCAGAGCCTGAAGACTGCTTCCGATTCTGTGTCTCCCTCTGTCTCTGACCCTCCCCTGCTCATGCTGTCTCTATCTCTCTCAAAAATAAATAAAATATTAAAAAAAAAAAAAAGACAGGGACCCAAAATGATGGTGACCTAGTAGCCTGAGGCCACGTTCAATGCTAAGAGCATCTCAGACACACCCACGGGGGCTGGGATGACGCTGCCCACGGGTGTTGTTGGAGCTCTTGCAGAGGGTGGACCGGAGGGGCCAGGGCAGAGAGAACTGGGGGCGCAGGCTCGGGTGGCGGCGGGGACTGGGGGGTTGACCCCGGCCTTGAGGGCAGAGAGGACGCGGGGTCGGGAGATGCAAGGCCAGCGGGGTCTGCGTCAGGGCTGCAGACGTGCGAGTTCTCTGTGAAGCCGGCGTGGGGTTCCAGGTCCCCGAGGGGAGGGTGTGTGGCAGAAGGCGGGGTGCCGGAGACACCTCGTGTGTGCCTGGGAGGGGGGCGTGGGAGGGGCGGCCCCGGGAGGCCGGAGGAGAGGGCAGCGGAGGCCAGACGCGAGGCAGCTGTCTGCCCTTCCAGATTCTCAACTGCATCTTCATCCTGTACTACGCGCTGGAGCTGCTGCTCAAGGTGTTCGCTCTGGGCCCGCGGGGGTACCTGTCTTTCTCCAGCAACGTGTTCGACGGGCTCCTCACTGTCGTCCTGCTGGTAAGGCCTTGCCGGGCCGGGCCGCTGGCCTCTGCGGCGGGCGGCGTGCCCCCTGCGGCTGGCCCTGGGCTGTGTTCCAACGCGGGCCGTCCCTCGGGCGCTGAGGGCCGTGGGGGGCTGGGCTCCCGCCCGCAGCGCAAAGGGCCGGCCTTCGCCTGGGTGCGCTGCTGGGGGGGCGGGGGGGGGCGGCCAGTGGGGGCCGATGGGAGGCAGGGTTTCCGTCGCATCTGAGGGTCGCCGGGCAGGCTGCCTCCCCCACCCCCCGCGGGGGCCCTCGCCAGCTAACGCGGCCCCGGCCACAGAGGACAGCGGGACCTTGACGTGGGTGGCGGGAGGGCAGCGGGCGCACGGGCACTCTCTCCCCAGAGCCTGTGGGAAGGGAGGGTCATGCATGGTGTGTGCGTCCTGGCAGCCGTACTGTGCAGCATCTGTCACACCTGACTGTCGGGAGCCGCGGGCCCCTGGGGACAGGAGCGAAGACGGCCTGGGAGACGGGCCCCGGTCTGTCCTTGGCCCGGGGCTCCCCGGCGTCCCGCCCTCCGTGGACAGGCCGCCTCGTCCTGCAACCGGAGTGTCTTTCTCAGCTGCAGGAAGTCACGTGTTTGGAACCGACTGTGGGGCCAGGGACAGAGCTCTGACTCCCCCCGAAAGCCCCCTCTGGGGGGCAGCGTGTCGCACACAAGCTTTAGAAGTTGGGAAGCCGCGCAGGTTAGCATTGCTGTAGCGACGCCTTCTCTTCTTTTGTAATTAAAGGTTTTGGAGATCTCCACTCTGGCTGTGTACCGATTCCCACACCCGGGCTGGTATGTGACTGGGCAGAACCGAGGGAGGCGACAGCAGCCGGCGCCCCAGGCCCCAGGGGTGGGTGGCCTGCGCCCCGGCCTGTCTGCTCGGGCTGCGCGGGGCCCAGTGCCCAGTGCTAGGGAACCAGGTGGCTCGGAGCTCAGCCCCCTGAGGACCGTGGGAGCCGACCCCCCTCGTTGCTCTTGGGGATCCTGTGATGGGTTGTAACTCACCGTCAAGTCGATTGCGTGCCCAGAGCTGTGACGAGCCGCCAGGGGGCACCTGGACGGGGCGCGTGGTCCTCCCACCCTGCCCCCAGATGTGGGCACACAGCAGTGTAGGTGTCTGGCCAGGGGGCCCCAGGGCGCCTCCAAGTGTGGCCTGTGGCTATCGGGTCGTGTTGCCCGGAGCACAGCCGCCCGGCCTCGGAGTCTCTGAGGGCTGCTGCTGTGCCGGAAAGTGCCAGTGGAGCGGGCCAGCCGGGAAGGGCTTGTGTCGGGGAGACGGGTGGCTGGTGCTGGCCGTGGCTGTGAGCCCGGGCCTGGGGGCGGGTGCTTGGGCCGCCTCGTTTCTCGACTGCAATGAAAACCTGCTTTGGTCCGAGAATCACAGGGGAACGTTGGTGTGAGAACAAGTTTCAATTTCAATAGAAACGAGCACACTTGTCCCCAGGGACACTTAGGGGGTCAGGGTACAGGCCGGCGTCGCAGGAGAGGGGGGGGACAGGCCTGGGTTGGGAGACGGGGTCGGAGGAGGGGTTGGAACAGGAGGGTCGTTGGGTGGGGACGGGCCTGGCGCGGGGAGGACCGGCTCTCTTCCGCTCAGCCTGGGACCGGAGTGGGGGTGCTCCAGCGCCTGAGCAGCTCCTGTGTGAGATCGGGGCGTGGCGACCGGGCGGCGGCGTGGGGGCTGGGCCAGCAGGGGTGGGCAGCCCGGACCCTGTGCTGGACCCGAGCCGGAGCCCCCTCCCCGCTGCTCCCTGCGTCGGTCTCTGTCTGAACACGCGTCCCCGGGTCTCCCTGTCGCCGGCCTCTCGGGCCTCCCGACCGTGCCCCGTGTGTCTCCCCAGGAAGCCGGAGGTGCTGGGCCTGCTGTCGCTGTGGGACATGGCTCGGCTGCTCAACATGTTCATCATCTTCCGGTTCCTGCGCATCATCCCCGGCATGAAGGTGCGTGCGTGTCTGATGCCTCCTCGCCGCCCTGTCCCCTCTGCCGTGCCGCTCTGGGGAGTGGGCGAGACCGGGGCCGTCCCCCGGGTGTGTCCCCAGCCCTGCACTGCAGCCGGACGATGCCGGGGGGCAGTCGGGCATGAGAGCCGCCTCGCCCTGCTTTTGTGCAAGGGGGGGGACGTGTGGGGCGCCTTGGCCAGCTGTCGGGGTAGCTCTGTGCTCTTCAGGGCCCCTGGCATCTGGGAGGGGCAGGGTCCCGAGGTTCCTGAGAGGCCATTGGCGTGGGCTCTTAGTGGCTTCTCAGAGTGAGGGGTGAAGGCGGGACTGGCCAGAGTCCTGCCCTCCAGGGCCCCCAGGGCAGGTGTGGGGCGTGTGGGTGGCCGGGGTGCTGGTCTCCGGGACTCCAATGCAGGGACCATTCACGGTCCTTGTTTTCTCTGAAAGTACCCACGGAGGTGGGGAGACCCCGGCTTGGAGGGGAGGGCAGCGGGAGGAGCAGGTGTTGAGGCCCAGGCCCATTGGTGCAGAGGGAGTTTGCTTTTCTCATTTTCCTAAGAACTTCCCAGGAGAGAAGATCCCAAGGACATCAGACCCCTTTCTGCGTGTCCGAGTCCTCCCTGAGCTCGTCTGTTCTTTCTGCCACACGGGGATCCTTACCATCCGGGGTCATTTCCCATCTGAAGGTGGCCTGGGGCCCTGGGTGCCGCTGGGGGTGGCAGCACCAAGGCCTGCATGCACGCCACACGCCACACGTGTGTGCATGTGATGACACGCATGTATCCACAGTCCCCTGTGGGCATGCGATCACACATGCATCTCTGCATATTCGTGTGATTATACACACGTGTAACCAGACACGACCACACGCGGTAACACGCCTGTGCATGTAGCCACAGACACACCACACGTGTAGCACGGTAGCCACACTTCGTCACTTGCACACACCCAACACACATGTAACCACGAGCATACCACACACGTGCTGGCGCACATACACCAACCGTATGTGCACACATATGTGCATAACTGTGCCCCCACAGTTACGTGTACACACACTGCACATGTGCGTGTACGCAAACGTGCTGACATGCAGTTACACGTACTTGCGCACTCTGCATGTGCCCACACGGACATGATACCCACGCGTACTTACATGTGCCTATGTGTACTGTATGTGCACACGCCCATGTACGTGACCATACCCGCAAGCAGTTACACGTACACACACACGTGTCCTGTACGCGTGCACATAATCACGTGCACACGCGCATGGTGGCTTCTGTCTGCTGGCCTCTAGCGTCAGGATCTAACACATCATGTGGGGTAAATGGACCACCTGGAAAGCCTTTCCCCGGGGCTCGGGTTTGCACGTGAGGGGAGCAGCCCCCCAGCTGGGGAGCCTGGGCGGGTTCCTTTCTCTGACCCGAGCACTAGGGCTGACCTGGCCTCCTTGGGTCTGGGCCTGTTTGGAGCCTCCGGACCAGAGAGGAGCCCACTGCCCAGCCTCAGCGGGTCTGCGCGCAGTGTGGTCTGAGCCGTGTACTGTGGCTTCGCCAGGGGCTTGGAATTGAGACGCACCTGTGTCTGGGGTGGGGGGGGGGCACGTGAGTGCACGAGGGTGTGTGTCTGTGAGTATGAGTGCAGTGGGTGTAGATGTATCTGTTCATGCCGGTGTTTACTGGTAGCAGCAGGGTGTATATATAGCTGTGTGTGTGGGGTGTGTGTGTGTATATGTTTTTGCAGTTCTGTGCGTGTGGATGTAGAGGTGTGTATGGTTGGGTAGTAAGATACTGTGGGGTGTGTCCAGGTTTGTGTGTGGGGGTACTGTGGGGTGTGTCCAGGTGCGTGTGTGGGTACTGTGGGGTGTGTCCAGGTGCGTGTGTGTGGGTACTATGGGGTGTGTCCAGGTGCGTGTGTGTGGGTACTGTGGGGTGTGTCCACGTGTGTGTGTGGATACTGTGGGGTGTGTACAGGTGGGTATGTGTGTGTACTGTGGGTGTGTATAGGCGTGTGTGTGTACTGTGGGTGTATACAGATGTGTGGTGGATACTGTTGTGTACAGATGTGTGTGTGTACTGTGGGGTGTGTGCAGGAGTGTGTGGGTAGATCCTGTGGGGGGCGTGTACGGGTGTGTAGGTTGGTAGTTCGCTGTCCTGTCCTGCCTCTCCAGGTCAGGGTCAGGGTGGCGGGCAGGGTCGACGTCCCCTCGCTGGGACCGGGAGGAACCGGGCCGTGCTCCTTCCCGTCCTCAGCTGATGGCCGTGGTGGCCACTACCATCCTGGACCTGCTCAAGAACATGCGGGCCTTCGGCGGCATCCTGGTGGTGAGTGTGGCGGCTCTGGCCGGGGCGGGGGCCGGGGGTGAGCCCGGGCCGGCTGCTCGGGGGAGGGGGCCCTGTGCGAGGCGGCGGTTTGTCTAGGCCGGAAGCCGGGGGGCTCCTGCCACCGGAGGGGGTGGCCCTCACGGCCGGTCTGCAGGGAGGGCCGCCTGCCGCGCCCCCACTCTGTGCCAGAGATCCCGTGGGTCACGTGGAACCCCTCACGGTGTTTGGGTCGCAGGCCGTTTTGAGACCCTCGTTTCCTTTTCCTTTTTCTTAAAAGTTTGTTTATCTTGAGAGAGAGAGAAGGGGGTGGGGAGATTGAATATCCAAGCAGGCTGCGTGCTGTCATCGCAGAGCCCGATGTGGGGCCTTGGCCTCATGAACCACGAGATCATGACCTTGGCCAAAATCGAGAGTCAGATGCTTAACCGACTGAGCCACGTAGGCACCTGAGACGCCGATTTTAATTTTTTTTTTTTTTTTTTAAGGTTTTTTTTTATTTATTTCTAGAGAGAGAGAGAGCGTGAGCAGGGGAGGGTCAGAGAGAGAGGGAGTCACAGACTGAAACAGGCTCCAGGCTCTGAGCTGGCAGTCAGCACAGAGCCCGACGCGGGGCTCGAACCCACGAACCGTGAGATCATGACCTAAGCGAAAGTCGGACGCTTAACCGACTAAGCCACCCAGGCGCCCCTTGAGACGCCGATTTTAAAAGTGTGAGAGGCACTATTGGTCCCTGAAGCCCCCGTAGAGCCCACATGGGGATTTGGTCCCCCTTGCTTGCTCAGAGGGATCTGGGGAGCCCCCGCCATGTCGGCCGAGGGACAGCCCGGACACCCCGCCACCCCCAGAGCCAGCCTTCCTGCCGAGGTGCCTTCGTCTCCAACCGCGGTCCTGCCCAGGGCGGGCGGGGGGACCTGACGCTGCTCTCGGCACTGAGCGCAGCAGCGAGAACGGAGGCCCGGAAGGGGTCGGGTTAGCCTGGGCCGCGTGCCCCTTCCTCTCCCACTGCGCCCGGTGGGGACAGGCGGGGGCAGGTCAGGGGTCACTGGGAGCCTCGTCTCATTGTGGCATGAGGCTGCTGAGTGGTGCTCCTTGGACATCGTTACCTCCTGGAGAAGCCTGGCCAGTTCCTACCTGCCCCTCCCCGAGACCCCCCTCCCTTGGGACCCCCCTCCCCTGGGAACCCCCTTCCCGCAGGACTGCCGCGGGCTCTGGGTGGAGCCCAGAGTAGGGGTCCCTCTTACCTCTTTGCTGCCACTTCTGTGCTGGAGAAGGGGTGGGCAGCCTCACCTTGACTTGGCCACCTCAGCCCTGCCCCTGGGCCCCTGTGTCTGTGCCTCCCCTGTGGGGGCGGCTCCTCGCTCCTTCCCTGTGGGGCAGGTTGGGGTCGGGAGAGGGTCCCCTGGAGGAGAGGTATCAGTGCTCCTGGGGGAGGCCAGCCGTAGCCACGACTGGGGGCAGGGTCCAGGGCCGGGAGTCACAGGCCCAGCCTGGCCCCGAGCCTCCGTGTGCCCGTGGCGCTGACCTGGCCCCTCCCCCCCAGGTCGTGTACTACGTGTTCGCCGTCCTGGGCATCAACCTGTTCCGGGGTGTCGTCGTGGCTCCTGGAAACGGCAGGTGAGGTGGGGCCTGAAGGCACCAGAGGGAGTGTCTGGGGCTGTGGGGTCTGGGGGGAAACTGGGCCTGGGTGGCGCTGTGGGGACAGGCTTCTGGGGGGGGCTCCTGGTGTTTCTTCCTTTGCCTCCCTGTCCCTTGCTCCCCCACTCCTCCCCTCCCCCCAGCCTCCCCCTCCCCTCGGAGAGGAGGGCCCCAGCAGCTAGGGCCCCTGCTGCTGCTGCTGTCCTCAGCACCTCCCCTCACTACCCCCACCCCCGCTCCCCCACCCTCTCCCCTCCCTCCCCCTCCCACCCCTCCCCCAGACTCTGTACTGAAGCCTGTTCAGCGCAGCGGCCCCACCCCAGTGTCCCTCGCTTTACCTTCCGGCCACACCTGGCGTGCGGTGCGCAGGCCCCGACCCGGAGCCGCTGTCTGGGAAGCTCGGTTTCCCTGTTCGTCTGCAGCTCTCGGCCCTTGGCTGCCCTCACGGGCTGCACCTCTGGGGGAGGGTCGTTTCTTCCTCTGCTTTCTCGGGCCCAGCCCGCTTCCCACTTCCCGCTGTGCGGGGGCTGAGGCAGTGCTAGGTCCCCCCCCATACCTGTCGCCATCCCCGCCCAGCTTCCTGTGTCCCCACAGCCTCGCCCCTGACAACAGCACGGCACCCTGTGGAAGCTTCGAGCAGCTGGAGTACTGGGCCAACAACTTCGATGACTTCGCGGTGAGCCGCGCGCCCCCTGCCCCGCGCCCCCTGCCCTCCCGGCCCTCTCCCCATGCCCTCCTGGACCCCTGTGCGTCCCCACAGGCCGCCCTGATCACTCTGTGGAACGTGATGGTGGTGAACAACTGGCAGGTGTTTCTGGACGCCTATCGGCGCTTCTCGGGCCCGTGAGTGACCCTGCCCCCACCGCGTCCCCGTGCCCTGTCACCCCGGGCTCTCCACTCCTGGGGACCTCTGAGGGCTGAGGCTCCCTAGGGCCTGGGAGCTCAGACCGGCCCCAGCAGATGGTCCCGGGTTCGAATCCCAGCTGTACCGCTTGCTGTCCATGCTACCGTGGCTACTCATTGACCACTTCCAGAGCCTTGAGTGGGGCGGCTGGAAAGCATTCCCCGCCGCGTGGCCCTCACGTGCGCCGTTCCCTGCCGCGTGGCCCTCATGTTCCCCGATGCGTGGCCCTCACGTGCGCCGTTCCCCACCGCGTGGGCCCGTCGCGTGTGCAGCTCACAGCGGCCCCGGGGCCCTCCTCCTCCGCAGGTGGTCGAAGATGTACTTTGTGCTGTGGTGGCTGGTGTCGTCGGTCATCTGGGTCAACCTGTTTCTGGCTCTGATTTTGGAGGTAGTGAGACCCCTGCCCGTGCTGCCTCTGACCTGCTGCTGGTGGCGTGGAGCTGCCAGCTGGGCCCCCTGGTCCCGGGGGGCGTTCTGTGCCGGGTTTACACAGTGCTCCGCTGAGGCCCTGTCCTGCCCTGGGGCTTAGCGCTGCTCGCCCAGGCTGCCGGGGGCCTCCTGGGATGCCCTGACACCCCGTCTTTGGGGGTCTCTGCCCCGGGTGGGCGGGGGAGGCCGGCAGGAGCCGTGGCCTTGCTGGGCCCTGGACCCCAGTGTCCGGAGTAAGCTCAGCTTCCTGCCCGATGCCGCGGCGGGGGGGAGGGGCTGGTTGTATGGGACTCGTACCCACTGGCCCCCCCCCCCCCCCCCCCCCCCCCCCCCCCAGAATTTCCTTCACAAGTGGGACCGCCGCACTCACCTGCAGTCCCTCGCCGGGGACCCAGACGCCGCCTGTCACGTGACTGTGGAGCAGCTCTTGTTCAGGTGTGTGGATGACGAAGGGCTTCTGCTGGGCTCCTGGGCGGCGAGGGGGGAGGCGGGGCGGTGGCGGGCGGGGGGCATCCTCTGCGACAGGGACACTCCCCACAGGCCCCCGGTACCTTGCCTCCCTCCCGCCGACTTCCGGGCTGGGAGCAGGTCTGTGGTCTCGGGCCCCTCAGTCTCCGGGTGGTTCTGTTGGTGGACGGAGCAGGGGCCCGAGGAAAGCCCGCCCTCCCTCCCCGCGGTGGCGTGGAAGCCGTCCTCCGTCAGTACTGGAAAGGGGTGGTCGCCCAGAGACAGGCCAGCGGCGGGACCCCGCGCCCGCGAGCGTGCGCGTGTCGGAGCCGCCGTGCTGGGCAGCGCCCCGTGGGCCGGCTTTGGGGGGCGTCCTCCCGGGCCTTCCACACCAGACACACACCCCAGAGCTGGTCGCCGTCCCCGGGTCCGCGGTCCTCCCCAAGCTGCGCGCCCGTCTGAGGACTCCTGAATGGGGAGCAGGGCCTCCCCGGTTGTGCCCACGCTCTCCTGGGGGCTCGCGGGTCCCTCTCCAGAGCGCCCCGTACACCCCCCCGCCTCCCGCCCCGATTCCCCAGGGACGTCCTGGAGGAGCCCACGGAGGACGAGCTGCTGGAGAAGCTGGGCCACCACCCGCACCTGCGGCTGCGCAGGTGACCCCCAGGGGCGCCGTCCGGCGCGGGCGGCAGGTGGCGGCGCGGCCTTGGGATGGACACTGGCTGAGGCGGCAGCCCAGGAGGAGGGACTCTCCGTGGCCTGGCTTCCTGCCCCCGCGCGTGGCGGCGCAGGGGCCCGGCTGCCCCGCAGAGCCACGTCCTGCAGCGCCCTGAGCTCCGCGCCGGCCGTCGTCTCTTGTCGCTCCTTCAGCGGGACTGTGACTTCTCCGCACACGGGCAGCGGGCGACTCCCGGGGCCCGTGAGCCCGGCCGGGAAGCAGGAGGCTGTGGCCTTGTGGGCCGGGCAGTTCCCACGGTGCCTTCGCTGCTGGTGGCCTTCAGGGACCACGGGCCCCCCAGGGCCTGCACGGGCCGCCGGCAGCTTCCCAGGGCCTTCGATTCGGGTGGTTTTATAGGAAGAGACTCTTGACTGTTATTATTTCACGGCTCCGCTGAGTGCCGACTGTGCGTGGAGTTTTTTACGGGTCAGAACGTCAATAGTTTATATCCTGAAGTCTTGCAAAAAGTGAGGTCGTTCTTATTTGGACCCAGCTTCCATCCTGTTTTTCTCTGGAACTGGGTGGCCAAGTGAGGTGGTTTAGATCGTGTACTGCACGCCTGGCTGCAAGGGGGTGTCCAGGCACTGGGTGTCTTCCCAAGGTGACGGGTGCCTTTTTCTAACTTGTGTAAAAGCAGGTGTAAGCTGGTGGTGGTTCTTTTTTCTTTAAGTTTGTTTATTTTGAGAGAGAGAGTGTGTGTACAAGTGAGCGAAGGGGGAGGCAGAGGAAGAGAGAATCCCAAGCAGGCTCCACACAGTGCAGGGCTCGATCCCACGCACCGGGAGATCACGACCTGAGCCGAAACCAAGAGTCAGACGCTCAGCTGACTGAGCCACGCAGGCGCCCCAGGGGTAGCTCTGTGTGTCTGTGGGGTGCGTGGCAGAGGAGGGAAAAGTGAATAGTGTGTGGCAGGCCATGTTGCCACTTGACTCACCGTAAACCCAGAGAAGCCATTAAGAAGGGGTTTTCTCGTCTCCGACTCGAGTGGGGCCCCTGCAGGTCTGTTTGGAAATCATCCTGGAAAACGGTGCTGGGATGGATGAGTGATGTCTGCTGTGGGCACTGAGGGGGAAGTGAGGGGCTGGTGCCGACTCCACTGCAGGAGGTCACCTCCATCTCCCCAGGGTGTCTGAGAAGTGGGATTACGGGAAAGTAACTTAAAAAAAAATAAGTTTCCAAAACGTCAGGAGACCCCAGTGCTTAGGGAGGCGTGGGTCCGGGTGGGTCCGGGTGGGTCCGGGCACTGTGTTACGCACCCGCCCTGTGCACTGCAGATTCTGCTCCAGGGTTGGCCCGAAGCCCCACGCACTGACGTGCTACCCCTCAGGTCCGGGGGCTCCGCGGGAGCCCCTCGGGGGGCAGTGGGTGAGGAGTCTGTGCCCAGCTGCCTTGGCAGAGACCTGTGCTCTCCGGGGACAAGGGTGAGGCCAGGGGCCGCCGCAGCTGTAATGATACCACCCTGTCCTCCCCTGCGTCCGGTGTCTGAGCGCCCTCTGGTGGCAGGATTGGAGTCCCTTCAGTGCAGGCTGGACCCCAGGACCCCCGGGGATAGCTCCCTGCCTTTCCCGGGCTGGCCAGAGGCCTGCTTACTCTTGGGACCCAAGGCCCGGAGCCTGGCCGCTTGGCCTGGGCTGCCGGCTCGTGCACCCAGGGCGAGCCTCGTCCCGGTGCCAGGCAGGACGTGCTGGCCTCTGCCGCGCCCTCGTGCAAGTCCTGGTGCTGACCCCAGGTCGCTGCCTTCTGGTCACGGCTCGGGGGCGAGGTGCAGGCGGCTCAGCCCTGCTGGACCCCGGTCCCCCAGTGCCATGCGGGGGTCTGGGACACCTGGACTGGTGTCACTCCCCGGTGGAGGTGGGCGGAGGTGGGGGCAGGACGTCACCGTGCCCCGGGGAGCCCTGGCCTGGGTGTCCGTGAGATGGCAAACGGGGCAGCTGGCCCAGTGGAGGGGTCAGGCCCAGGGGAGGGGGCAAGGGGGTGGGGCAGAGTGAGGGGCTCACAGCCGTACACACCAAATAGGCCTTTGGTCCTGGCCATCGATGGGCCTGGAGTTGGTGTGTGGGCGAGGCAGGGACCTGGGTTGGCACCAAAGCCCCCACCTGCCTGGAGACCTGAGTCCTCCACATTGGGGGGACTCACTTGGTACCTGCCCAGCTCTGGGCCGCCAGCCAGCCCAGGCCTCTGCAGGTGAGCTCCCCAGGTCCTGGAGCTGCCTGCCTGCCGTCCCCGTGACCCGGCAGGGGTGTGAGTGGGCGGGGGCTGCCTCCGCTCCCTCTGAGGTTCCCCGTGGAGGCCCCGGGCCGCTGCCCCCACTGGGGAGCCCCGGAAGGACTTAGCCGCCATTCCTGAGGGTGGGGGAGGGCAGGGAGGAGCAGATGTTTAATGAGAACATGGACACGAATGCAGATGCAGAGGGATCACTGCAGAGTTAGGTTGTTCTGACCCCCTTCGCCTTCCGCACCTCAGGGAGGGTCCCCAACAGATAGGGCCACGGGGGCGGTGTGGTGCCGTCCTGCAGGCTGGTGCTCACCCCGGTCGTGGCCATCCTGAGCCTCCATTGTGGTCCCTGGGACCCCGTGGTCGCCTGTGGTCTCCCCGGACAGGTGACCTCAGCCAGTGACAGCGGGAGGCTCCCCGGCCAGGGTCACGCGAGGCTTCTCAGCTGGTTTCTGCGGCGTTCGTAGGAAGGTCACAGAAACGTGTCCTGGCAGCTGCTGGGCGGTTTCCGTGGGCCCCGTGGCCGGTGCTGCCCCCTCGCCTGCTGCCGGTGGTGCCGGGCCGCCCAGTGGAACGTTGCTGCTTTTCCCCCTGGAGTTCGGGGCGGGAGCAGGTGCTTTGAAGCTGGGGGACCATCCGGTTCTCCAGGTTCAGTTACTTCTCCCCTGCTTTCCTCTGCACGCATGGGGATTTCCCCCGTTCCGCGTGTTCCGTGCGGTCTGGGACTCCGTTCCATGTGCAGATTCTCATTTGGCCAGTGGGGACCGCTCCATCTCGATTTTGTGTCCGTTTGCTGGGTACCTGCTATCCTTTGAGTGCTTCTGCGTTCTGGTGTGAAAAGGCGTTGCGGGCTCATGTCGCACCTCCTGTGCTCCAGCCCCGGAAACAGCCATCGCTCCGAGGACCCCTGTCCCTTTAAGAAGAGCATCTGGGAACCAAGATGTGGGTGTGAGGAGTGTTTACTGCTGTTGGGGTGTTGCTGTGCCCAGGTTCTCCCGGTGGATAGGGCTGGGGATACAGGCCTGCATCTGCCTGTGTGTCCGTCCATCTGTCCACTTATCTGCCCATCCATCCATCCCTCCATCCTTCTCTCCAATCAGTTGACAAGTATCCATCCATCCATCCATCCATCCATCCATCCATCCATCTTTCCAATCAGTTGATAACTATCCGTCCATCCCTCCATTCGTCTATCCAATTAATTGACAACTATCCATCCGTCCATCCGTCCATCTATCCATCCAATCAGTTGGCAACTATCCATTCATCCGTCCATCCAGTTAGTTGACAACTATCTATCTGTCCGTCCATCCATCCATCTGTCCATCCAATCAGTTGACAGCTATCCGTCTATCCATCCCTCCATCCAACCACTTGACAACTATGAGATCCCACTAATACAGCACAGGGCACAGCTGGTTTTCTCCGTGTGGCTCTCAGCCCTTTCCTGGTTCTATAAATAATCTGCCTCCCGTCGCCGGGCCACCCCTCCCCACCGGATGTCCCCCTCACCCTGCGGGGGTGCCCTGGGGCTGCCCTCCGGCCAGATACCTGCGGGAAAGAGCGTTCCCGACGGAGAGAGAGTACCGTCAGGCCCTTTATCGGTAGGAATAGCAGAGTCAGAGCCTGACCAGCTTATTAAAACCAAGTAAGTAAAAAAATTGCATTAGAAGAAACCTATCTCGGGGCGCCCGGGTGGCTTAGTCGGTTAAGCGTCCGACTTTTGCTCGGGTCATGATCTCGCGGTTCGTGGGTTCGAGCCCCACGTCGGGCTCTGTGCTGACTGCCAGCTCAGAGCCTGGAGCCTGTTTTAGTCTGTAACTCCCTCTCTCTCTGACCCTCCCCTGCTCACGCTGTCTCTCTCTCTCTCTCCTAGAAATAAATAAAACATTAAAAAAAAAAAGAAGAAGAAACCTATCTCTTTATTCACAAACAACATGATTGCCCCTAGAGAAATGCTAAGATCAATAATTCAGCAACATGGCATGCTGTCAGATTAATACACTGAAGTCAGTCGCTTTTCTAAACACTAGGAACAAGCTGCTGTCGGTTTATGTTAAAAGATACCATAAGAGAAACTATTGATGTGGGAGTAAAATCCTCGAGCTCCTAGAATACAAGGCCGTACACAGGAAACTAGAGCTGCACTAAGTCCCGTGATTGGACCGGACAGAACGCCGCCGCCTCAGACCTCCACACGCCCGCACTCGCAGCTCCGCAGGCCGCGCGGGCAGGTGCTGCTTCGCGGGGCGCCCTGCACGGCGGGGCTCGGCCTGCGCTGCCCCTCCTTCTCCGGGAAGAGCCTGCGTCTGCGGTCATTCACGTTGTCAGCCAAGTTCTGTTTCTGAGGCCTTAGGTTATGGCCCTTGACGTTCCCGTTTCCTTGCTGGCGTCAGCAGAGGGCTGTTCCTAGGCCCCCTGCGTTCTCCGCTACTCGGCTCCCAGGCCTCCGTCAGCAGCAGAGAACCTGCTGCAAATCGAATCCCCTTGCCCTTTGTGCCTCGCCCTGACTGCTTACGGACTCACCTGATTAGGTCAGGCCCACCAGGATACTCCCCCTTTCTCGAAGTCCGCCGTGTCCCAGATCGTCGTTCAACCCCAGGAGTGACCATGGCATCACGGTTGGGTCCACGCACGCCCAGTGGCAGGAGCGTGTACTAGCTCGAGGCTCCCTGGGGGGCTTAGAATTCTGCCTCCCACAGTCTTCCCGTTAATAGCTAGGAAGGGTGGATACTGAAACGTGTCTGTGCTCCCCAGTGAATCCATAGGTTTGTTACAGTTCTAAACACAATGCTAATTTCGTCCACAAAGTTTGATAAGCTGAAAAATGTACGTGAAACTTACGTGCAGAAATAGCCAGGTCACTTCTCTAGAAGAACATGGTTGAAGACCTTGCTCGCCAGTGTCCCCAACTTACCGTGGCGATGTGACCCAGCCCAGCCTGATCCCGGTGCGGGGCAAACGGAGGAATGAAATCGGAGCGCCCAGGGTGGCAGCGGCGGGGGGCAGGGGCGGCTGGGAGGCCCCAGGCACCCTCAGGGGCCAGAGCCGCTCGATCAGCGTCTGGGGGTTTCTGCCCGGCGGGCAGGTGCAGAGCCAGAAGCTGGATGGGGTCCAGGACCTGGGACCAGTCTGTCGCCGGGACCCGGGAGTGGGGGCTCGGCAAGTGGTTTGGGGCCTTTCATGTGGTCACAGCCGCTCAGCACAGCAGGGAGGGATCTTGTCTTTCACCAAAGCCGCCGGGGTTTGGTTTTCTTCCTCAGAGATAATTGGTGGTTCTTATTAAAAGGCTCGAGCAATTCATTGTTTGTAAAAAAGTGAAAGGCAGGCACACCTCGCTGCTCTTAAAATTTAAGAAGGGGGCGTGGGGCTCAGCCGTGCACCTCACATCAAAGTGGCCAGCAGACGCCGCGGGCATCGTGCGGGTGGCCCG